TAGAAAACGAAGATCAACTTTGTTAAATACTGCTAAGTCAAGAAGGAAGAGAGATCAGAAATGACCACTAGATGTAGTAACGTGAAGGTCACTGATAACTTTGGTGAGAGGAGTTTTGGTGCAACAGTGGTTGGGGACAAAGCCTTACAGGTTTGATGGAAATGAGAAGAGAGGAACTAGAAAGAGAAAGAAGAACAAAGAGCTTTGCTGCAAAGGGGAGCAAACAATTAAAGGAATACTTGTCAGGGAAATAAGGACCAACAGAAAATCTGTATCTATTTTTTAATAATGAGTGAAAAAATGAGAACAACCCATTCAAGATGTTGGTGACATAAGGGAGAAAGGGAGGAATTGCTAGAGCAATGTCTTTGAGTAGGCAAGGGGAGTGGCTTCTAGTGCATGAGTGGAGGCATTACATGGGGCATGGAAAATTCATCTATGCTTAATAGAAAGGAAAGCAGAGTATCTGAATGCAGATGCTGACTAGTGAGGAAATGGAGTGGAATCTGGAAGTTCTCCTCTTATTGCTGTAATTTTTTCAGTGAGGTAGGAAGCAAGGTGAACAGCTGAGAAGCTCACTTCACCTCTAAAGACATACATACACTGATAATGAAGGGATGGAAAAAGATATTCCATGCAAATGGAAACTACAAAAGAGCAGGAGTAGCTACACTTGCAGGTAAAATAGATTTCAAGACAAAAACTGGAAGAAAAGACAAAGAAGGCCATTATGTAATGATAAAGGGGCCAATTCAGCAAGAGAATATAACAACTAAAGGTATATATGAACCCAATGCTAGAGCACCCAGATATATAAAGCAAGTATTATTAGAGCTAAAAAGAGAGATAGAACTCAATACAATAATAGCTGAGGACTTCAACGCTCCGCCTTCAGCACTGGACAGATAATCCAGACTGAAAATCAACAAAGAAACATTCGACTTAATCTGCACTATAGACCAAATGGACATAATAGATATTTATAGAACATTTCACCCAACAGGTGCAGAGTACACATTCTTTTCCTCAGCACATGGAACATTATCAAGGATACAAAACAAGTACCCCAAATTAAAAAAATACTTAAATTATATTAGATATATTTTCTGACCACAATGGATTAAAACTAGAAATCAATAGCAAGAAGAATTTTGGAAAAAATATAAACGCATGAAAATTTAAAAATGTGCTCCTGAATGACCATTGAGTCATTGACAAAATTAATAAGAAAATGTAAATATTTCTTGAAACAAATGAAAATGGAAGCACAGCATATTAAAACTTGTGGGATACAGCAAAAGCAGTACTGAGAGGGACGTGAACATCAATAAATGCCTACATCAAAAAAATAGAAAAACTTCAAATAAACAACCTAATGATGCATCTTAAAGAACTGGAAAAGCGAGGGCAAACCAAACCCAAAATTTGTAAAAGAAAAGAAATCATACAGATCAGAGCAGAAATATATGAAACAGAGACTAAAAAAATACAAAAGATCAATGAAATAAAAAGTTGGGTTTTTGAAAAGATACACTTTCAAAACATATGAAGAAGCCAACCATTTCCTCACCACATTAGCTGCTACCACCCTGTTCCAGCCAATCAACTCTCACCCAGATTTTCACAACAGTCTCCTGACTTGTCTCCCTGCTTTGGCCCTGCTACAGATGTCCAATTAAAATGTAAGTCAAATCATGTCCCTCCGCTGCTCCAAGCCTTCAAAGACTTCCCATTTTATCCAGACAAAAGTCAAAGTAGTTGTTGCCTTCTCCCCAGCTTCCTTCAGCAGCCTCATCTCTGCACCGTCCACACTACCTTCTTGTTGTCTCTCTCTCTCTCTCTCTCTTTCTTTCTTTCTTTTTTTTTTTTTTTTTTTTAGATAGAGTCTCACTCTGTTGCCCAGGCTGCAGTGCAGTGGTGCAATCTTGGCTCACTGCAACCTCCACCTCCTGAGTTCAAGTGATTCTCCTGCCTCAGCCTCCCGAGTAGCTGGGATTACAGGCGCCCACCACCATGCCCAGCTAATTTTTGTATTTTTAGTAGAGATGGGGTTTTGCCATGTTGGCCAGACTGGTCACAAACTCCTGACCTCAGGTTATCTGCCCACCTCGGCCTCCCAAAGTGCTAGGATTACAGGTGTGAGCCACCGCACACAGCCTTTTGTTGTCTCTTGAACCTGCGAATCATGACCTTTACACAGGAACTTTGCACATGCTTTTCCCACTATCTCATGTTTTCTATGGCTCACCCATCCATCTTCCTCAGGTCTTTACTCAAATGTCCCACAATCAGTGTGGCTTCCTTGACCATACTACTTAAAATTGCAACTAGGGTCCTGTAAATTTCCTATTCTCCTTCCCTGCTCTGTGTTTCTCATAGCACTTATCAGTACCTAACACACAATATATTTAATTGAATCATTCAGTTTACACTCTGTCTCTCCCCATTTGAAAGTAAGTTCCGTGTAGTCAAAGACTTGTATATTGTTTACAATGCTTTCTTCAGTGCCTAGAACAGCCCCAGGCACATATTTTCAGAATGAATGAATAAATTTCAGAATCATACAGTGAGACCAGGACTTCTTGTGGTGTGTAGTTACTCCGTAGACATGAGATGTGCCATCCACCTAAAATTTGGTTTGATTGCTGAGAGTGAGAATATCTCACATGCACCAGGAAGATATGAAAAAGTTTATTACTCGCATCATGTGGCTTTCTGGGGATAGTAGGTCTGGCTTCCAAGCAGGTCCAAAAGTAGCCTCAGAGAGCAGAGAAATGATATGGAGTTCTAGTGTGATTTGGCGATGGGGTTGGGATGAGGATTCCCGTGCACAGGGTAGGGCTTGTGCAGTTTGAACCTCCTGCTAGTGCCAAAGGAGGGAGCACCTGGACTTCCTTATCAGCTTGCCCAGATGTAGGGCTGAAGGGTCAGGCAGGGAGAGGTGGGCAGGCAAACATCAGAAATGGGGTCAGATTGTTCATTATAGGTCCTATAGCAAGTAGGACTGTTTGGGCATTTCATAGTCTTTGATCCTACCTGGCACCTAGCACATAAGATCTGCAAGGAATCTTACAACTCTAGGCAGACTGTCTTATTTTTCAGATGAAGAAGACTGAGCCCAGTCCCACTATGTCATTCTGTCTCTGTAGATCACACTTGGAGCTGACTCAATAGCTGGCATCCCTGTGGCAAGGCCTAGGACTGTGGGGACTTAAAAACAATCTTGCACAATTTTTTAGACTCTGACTCTCAGAACCCTTTTCTGTAAAATTCTTGTAATATCTACTGTACACTTTGTCAGACTAAGGGATTCAATGAAAGAATGTTAATAATGTGCCATCACATGATCATACTCTGTGAAGGGTTATTGCTAGGGTCAGAACATGGCGGTCTCTAGTAAAAGATCATTTGGTCTAGGGATATTTAAGAGAACACTTTTGAGTATAAAATAGGTAGACTATAATTATTTCATTTTATATACAGTAACAGAAATGGGGACCATTGCTTTGTGTAGGTTTGATTTTTACTTTTTATAGTGAAACTTTCAAATAAACAGAAAAGTAAAAAGATTAGCATAATGAACATACCAATACTCTTACATTAGTCTAACAATTGTTAATATGTTGCCTTCTTTGTCTATTTGTTTTTGCTGTTGAACTGCTTTAAAGTAAATTAAAGTTATAATGATATTTTACCCCAAAATATATCATTTTGTATCTTAAAATAAGGATATTGTCCTATATGGCTATGATGTCATGATCACACTGAACAAAAATAATGATTCCTTAATATCATTTAATATCAGTCCACATTCAAACTGTGTTAAGGCTTCAGTGGGATGTTTCGTGAGATTTTGAATCAAATTCTCCTTTGTGGATCTGAAACTCCTCATTCCCCAATTCACCGTGCAATTAATGATTTCTTCCCTCTTTATGGGAAACAGATGGGATTAGCAAATTGTGACTGTTGCTTATTTCCCAAAAGATAAATCAGGGACATCATAATAAGGAGGAGAAAAGTAATGTTTGCAAAATTCCTTGGACAAACCTCTATCTTGCAATTATGTGTATTTGCCTTTAATTATGTATTGGAGAAATTCTGAGCATTAAACCAGTCTCAAATGAGACACTAAAGTTCTGATTGGATGTCACCATCTCCCATAACTTTCCCCAGAATGTGTGATGAAAGGGCTCCAGCCTGGGTGACAGGGGAAGACTGTGTCTCAAAAAATAAATAAATAAAAATGAAAGGCTTAAAAATAAAAGAAAATAAGCATTGAGATAGTGGTTTCAAGTCACTAAGAGTCAAAACAGTCAAAGGACCACTTTACTGTTTTCCTTATCTTCCAACCAAGACAGTGTCGTATGGTTTTTTTTTTTTTTATTTTTATGTTTTTGAGACGGAGTCTTGCTCTGTTGCTCAGGCTGGAGTGCAGTGGCATGATCTCGGCTCACTGCAACCTCCGCCTCCCAGGTTCAAGCGATTCTCCTGCCTCAGCCTCCTGAGTAGCTGGGATTACAGTCGCCTGCCACCATGTCTGGCTAATTTTTGCATTTTTAGTAGAGACAGGGTTTTGCCATGTTGGCCAGGCTGGTCTTGAACTTCTGACCTCAGGAGATCCACCCACCTCGACCTCCCAAAGTGCTGGGATTATAGGTATGAGCCACTGCACCCAGCCAGCTTTATATGTTTTAGAGAACCAAAACCAGGGATAGCCCCAAAGAGGGAATGATGCTTCGTTATTGCCACGTCTTGAATAAGAGGGTGGAGAAATGGGCACACATATGAAGGAGAGTTAAGTACTTGAGCACAAAATTTTATCTACTTCCCTCAGTTCCTCATTTTGTTTTGCATGGGAATTCTCTATCAGAGAAGTTGGGGAGCTTTAAAGATTTTGACTTTTCAGTTGAGATTATGCCAATTCTTTGTAATTTTGTTTTCCACTTTAGCTCTTTTTTTCAAAATGATTCTTTTCTTTTCTTTTCTTTTTTTTATTGTAGGCTTTGCACTTCTGGGAGGACACCCTTGTTTTCTTACCACACAAGATATTCATTTGGGTGTGAATGAAAGTCTCACGGACACGGCCCGGTTTGTAAATATTTTCTTCTCTCCAAAGCCGATTTCAGAATCTGATGGATAAATTTCAGAAAGAAAACATGCTTCTCTTTAAATAATGGTTTTCCCTCTAATTGTTCTGTTCTCCATTTTCCTTCTTTCCCTGATATTCGGAATGCCTCTCCCTCATCCTATGGTGGCCACTTTCCATGGGTTGAAATAATTTTTCTTGGCAATTTTTTGAAGAAGCTTCTGATCATAAAATTTCAAACTTATGGAAATATTGAGTTCATCAAGTATGACTCTTAGATTTAACAGTTGAGGAGGAAATGAAAGTCCAGGGAAACTGACGTTCAGTGACTCATAACCAGTTACTATCAGACTAGGTAATCACATTGATAACTATTAATAACATTTATTGAGCATTTATTATGTGCCAGGTATTTTTCTAACTTGTTTAATCCTTATAACAACCCAAACAGATTGTCATAAAGAAGTGAAACAACTTAATTAGGCACAGACTAGCTGCTATAACACAAAATCTCAAATGTCAATGTGCTAACATAGTGCAGATGTTCCTGACTGGTAAGAGGGAAGAACAGGTTATTAATTTACGTGGGTTATTCAGGGACACTGGCTGAGAGTGGTTCTACCATCTTCAGCATGTGACCTCCAAGGTCAGTGTGGGTGTTAACATCCAGCCAGGACCAAGGAGAACAGAGCATGGAGAAGGCATACTTGTTTCAAAGCCGCCTTAGCAGGGAAGCAGTGCAAACAATTCCACTTATATTTCATTAGGAAGTACAAGTAGCTCACTCCCATCTAGATGAAGGGAGAGATGGGGAAAGACTCTTACCCACTATATTATAATGAAAGACTGAAGCATAGGCCTCCTGACTCCTCATGCAATGCTCTTACCACTACATCATGTCTGGCTAAAAAATCCAGAGCAAATATCTTTGTTAAAAGTTTTGCCCTCAAAAGAGAAGACTAATGATTCTTTTCCTGAAAATGATACGCGATAAAGTTATTTATTGCAGATACCGTCTGCTTTTTATGGCAACCACCCTGGTATATACTAAAAAATTCACCTCATTTGACTTGCTGAAGAGATTTCAAATAACTCATCTTTAAACCTTTTAGGTATGTTATTTCAGATGGGACAATGAAAGTATTAAGAAGTGTGATTAGCCTCTGGATTCTAGGGACAAAAGGAATAAAGGAACATAAATTTTTTCTTTCAAATAATCTGCCACTGACTGGGATTATATTTGTCTAATAATTCTGCTTCCATGAAAGTGAAATACACTTTATTCAAAAGCAAATATTACAAGCTGATCAAGGGATGAAGCCAGAGACATATCCAAGCAAAGTTTCAGCGGGGATCCTCCATATAGGACCAGGTGGATGGTGAAGGAGTCATATGTAAAGCACTGGTTGGAAGAGGGTTCAGTGGGAGGAACAGCTGAGTACCCAAAAAAGGAGGTGAGCAGTGCAGGTTGGCAGTCAGAAGGAGGTCAGGGTCCAGAAATCAGTGCAGTGGGCAGGATTCCAAGAGCAAGAGACAAGCAGCCAAGCATGGGCTGAAAATTGAGGATGGGTATAAACGTGCTCTTTTCTGGGCTTGCTGTCCACACAATTCTCACTGCAAATCCTCAGAGGAGTTCTACATAGATCCTTAGCAAAACAGCCTGCTTACAGATTTTTTTTTTTTTTTTTTTGTTACAAGTTCCAAAATGATTGGGACATTTTGAGTCCATATAATTATTATAGTTCCATTGCTACATGAATACATGGGTCCACAAAATGGAGTCCATATAATTCATTTTGATCATTTTATCTTATGCAAAACACTGAAAATAATAGCTACTCCTTAAAGAGTGTCTGCTGTGGACCTCTTGTGCTATTATCTCTAAATCTTTTAAAAAATCTTGCAAAGTAAGTATTATTGGCCTGGTTTTATAGATGAGGAAAGCATGGCTCAGAGAAGTTAATGGAGCTTAGAAGCTGACTAAGTCAGGGTTTAAATCAAGCTGTCTTTATTTTTTAAGGCTGTGTTGTTTTGATTACCCCATAATGCTTCTTCTATTCAGCCCACGAGAGGGGCAGTGAAACAAGTTATAGAAAATATTGGGCCGGGCGCGGTGGCTCATGCCTCTAATCCCAGCACTTTGGGAGGCCGAGGCAGGTGGATCATCTGAGTTCGGGAGTTCGAGACCAGCCTGACCAACATGGAGAAACGCTGTCTCTACTAAAAATACAAAAATTAGCTGGGTGTGGTGGCACATGCCTGTAATCCCAGCTACTCAGGAGGCTGAAGCAGGAGAATTGCTTGAACCCTGGAGGCGGAGGTTGCAGTGAGCCGAGATCGCACCATTGCACTCCAGCCTGGGCAAGAAGAACAAAACTCCATCTCAAAAGAAAAGAAAGAGAAAAGAAAACATTGACTTTCACGTCAAGAGGTCCCCATGACAACCCAGAGGTTTGATGATTCTCTAGGAGGGTTCACAGGACTCAGCATATAGTCATACTCATAGTTATGATTTATTACAATGAAAGTATACCAAGCACAATCAACAAAGGGAAAAGACAGAAGCAGGAAAATGAAAGGAGTTTCTGCTTTGTGGAGACAGTGACAGATTAGGTACTGAACATATTGCATTAAAGGTTGAACCTCTGAGTGCAAATGTTCACAAGCCATTGGAGATAAAGACCTTGAGTGAAGTTGAGAGCTGAAGAAATACAAGCTCAGTGATAAAAATTAGCTCCATGGTCTCAATGTGGGAGAATTGCAGAAGGCTGTGCCATGAGAACAGGTGCAATTAGGGAGGGGGAGGCGGAAATCCTCAAGGTACAAAGAGAAGAAAGATAGTACAATATCGGAAGAGGCTGGGATGGGAGATGGGGGATGTCAGAAAAAAGAGTAGAGTAGCTATTGTAGAAATCTGACTTTCTTCTGCGTACCTCATTACTGCTTAATCTGCCAAAATATCTGACAAACAAGATATGCTGGGACTCAGAAATTCAATAAAGCTAAATTGAAGAAGACAAGAGAAATCCACCACTTTCTACCAGTGCAATTGAACAGGAGATGCAAGGAAGCGAATCTTGATGACATCTACCTTGCTGATACGCACCTTGTAACCCTCAGCAATCGCTTCCTTTGCTTTTTGTAGAAGTTTAATATTTTAAGGTGCAAAGGGATTGGAGGATGATTAAATGACATTGTTGGCCCTTTCAAATCAAAAGAATCGTGCATACCTGACACTGATTGACGGTGTTGCTTCTCCATCTGCTGGTCCAGGTGCTTTGAGGGCCTGGTCAAATAAAAAGTGCCTGCACATTGGTGAAAGAAGAGCCTGAGGGAGAATATAGTGAGTGTAGCAACAGAAAGAAAAGAAAGAAAGAAAGAAAGAAAACCGGGCCAGTCTCTTGAAAGCTGTTAAATGCAATTTCCAAAGTGTCACTTATTTGTTCAAATGATTTAATTATTCATTTATTCAGAAATAGTTATTGAATGCCTCGTTTTTCTTCCTGACATTATTTTAGCACTGAGAATAAAATGCTGATCAAGGCTGGGCGCAGTGGCTCACGTCTGTAATCCCAGCACTTTGGGAAGCCGAGGGGTGGGGTGGGGGGGGCGGCGGTTACCTGAGGTCAGGAGTTCGAGACCAGCCTGGCCAACACGGCAAAACCCCATCTCTACTAAAAATACAAAAATTAGCCGAGTGTGGTGGCACATGTCTGTAATCCCAGCTACTCAGGAGGCTGAGGCAGGAGAATCACCTGAACCCGGGAGGCGGAGGTTGCAGTGAGTCGAGATTGCGCCACTGCACTCCAGCCTGGGCGACAGAGCGGGACTCTGTCTCAAAGAAATAAATAAAATAAAATGCTGATCAAGTCAAACAAGATTCTTGTTGGAGTGGAAATTACATTCTGGAGCAAGGAGGCTTTTGCTAAACAAATAAATAAAGCATGAATAGATGAGCAGGTTGAAATAAGTGCTACGATGAAGCTAAAGCAGGGTTATTTGTTGGTGGGGTGGGTGCTGCCTTAGATTGGGTGGTCAGGGAAGGCCTCTCTGAGGAGGTGACAGTTAAGAGCTCAATAAAATGACAGAGCCAGGTACACAATGCTGTGGGAAGAGCGTCACAGAAAGAACTGCTGATGCATCAGCCTAAGGCAGCAACAAGCTGGATGTGTTCAGGAACAAAAGGGAAGCCATTAATATTCTAAAATCTTCAAAGAAACATATTTTAAACCTGATTTTTTAAAAAGCACCTTACAGATTGGTCCTCAGTCTCACCCACCAAAGAAAGGAAAGATAAAATCCGAACAAGGAATAAAAATCCTAAATACACATTCAAAATACAATGTATTGCACAGCAGATCTTTAGAACTTATTTATGGCTGGGTGTGGTGGTTCACACCTGTAATCCCAGCACTTTGAGAGGCCGAGGCAGACGGATCACCTGAGGTCAGGAGTTCGAGACCAGCCTGGCCAACATGGTGAAACCCCACCTCTACTAAAAATAAAATAAAATAAAATAAAATTCTGCTCGCCCATAGTCCCAGTTACTAAGGAGGCTGAGGCAGGAGAATCGCTTGAGCCCAGGAGGTGGAGGTTGCAGTGAGCCGAGATCGTGCCACTGCACTCCAGCCTGGGCAACAGAGCAAGACTCCGTTTCAAAAAAAAAAAAAAAAAAAAAAAAAAGCTGGTATGGTGGCTCATGCCTGTAATCCCAGCACTTTGGGAGGCTGAGGTGGGCGGATCACAAGGTCAGGAGTTTGAGACCAGCCTGACCAACATAGTGAAATCTCGTCTCTACTAAAAATACAAAAATTAGCCAGGCGTGGTGACGCATGCTTGTAATCCTGGCTACTCAGGAGGCTGAGGCAGGAGAATCACTTGAACCCAGGAGTTGGAGGTTGCAGTGAGCTGAGGTCACAGCACTGCACCCCAGCCTGGGTGACAGAGTGAGACTCTGTCTCAAAAAAAAAAAAAAATATATATATATATATATATATATGTA